TGCGATATGAGACGTAGTACGGTACACTCTATTTAACCTGACGCCTAATCGCTACAGTATGCGCTGCGACTCGTCCTTTGCCGCGTCTGCGTTCTTCCTTCGCCGCGCGACGGGCCTCTTGGGGGACACCCGTTACAATCTCATGAAATTCCGTCCTAAGAGTTGGGGCGTTCGCAAAAAAAGAGCATGAGCGTGGCAGTGATTAAGCGGAGTCCACCAAACATGGTTGGACAAAAGGTGTTAAAAAAGAGGTATTCTGGAAGGGATTCTGGCATCACTTATGAAGTTGATGGCATCTTGTATTAGTAGACAAATATTTTGAGATGTCTTCTATAGCTAAATCGTAGTTAGGCAGAGAAAAGAAATAATGCGATTAAAAAAGGCGCATATGCCACGTTGATCTTCCAGTTAAAAGTGCTTCGTAAGACTTTTCAAATCTCATTGTCGTTCCTTTCTCTGATGGGCTCCACTAATCAAGAGTTAAAGTCATTAAGTAGTAGTTGAATTTTACGCGTTGGAAATGCAGACGACGCAAGCGGAGTAGAAAGCCAATACTGGGGTCAGATACGCAATCCGTCGCGCAATTCGCGCAAACCGCATCGTGGACTACACCAGCTCAAGAGAACCACCCCTGCAAACAAGTAAGTACGCTTTCGAGTGGGCAAGATCGCGAGATCGCAACAGCGAAGACCCGCTTTATTGCCACTATCAGCGACTCTTAATGCCAGCCGTTATTGCTCCATAGTGCAGAGGTAGTTTTCCAGTAGACGGGAATGCTTTATTGATTCTCAGGGTGCCGTCGCAATAAACTATTTTTGAACGTTTCACTTTTGCGCAGACATCTCACAATTCTACTGCATCATATTCTATAGATTTTTTGTCTCTACTTCCAAAATCAAGCGCTTCAACCTGATTCTTTCATTGAGTCGCCTGATACGTGGCCTCCCCAGAGCGCACTTCTTTCCATGACCCGCCACGGGCTCCACGTGACCTACCTTCAACCGTCTATGGAATGCGATATTCGTAAGCTTGTTTCTCTTGTAAGGATATGGTCTTCCCAAGTGTTAGCAACCTACGGACCCCTTTGCTACACGACAGGACACACAAAAGAAAAAGAATTTATTAACAAATCAAACCAACTATAGGGGTGCGAAGGTATCGACTCAACGGCGACAGCTGGCGACTGGTGACTACAACGTCGAAGCGATCCAAGAGGTCGAGGCGAATTCACCGATTGGTGATGTACTGGTTGGCGTAGCTTCCAGCGAGAATCCGGGGCAACTGATCGGCGTGGCTTCTTCGACGGGACGGAGGCCATTTGTTGAGCTATCGGGGCGACGTGGAGATGATGTGGAGATGACGTGGAGCGACGTGAATGTTCTAACCTGGAGGCGCCTGGTTAAGGGACCAACCGCTACCACCCGCGTAACGTACTCCTTCGAGGGTGGTCTTGCGGCCGCCCCGTATTACATACGGTACTCGCCGTAAAAAACGTCAAAAACACGCGAAAAACGCGAATTCGCGTTTTTTTTCGTTTTTTCGTTATAACTCGGTTCAAAATTGAGATTTTCAAAATCTGAAAAAAGCGTTGAACTCAGCTCGTCGAGTTCTATAAGAATATGCTTTTAAAAAAGCCCTACTTCAGATTGCGCCATGCACTCGAGCTTTGGCTCGAGAAAAAATTGTTTGAATGTGGTGCGCATATAATCCCGCTTATGCATCATGATCGTTCTTCAGAGAGATGGGTCTCAGTAGTTGCTCCAGAACGCGCCGCGTATTCAACATGGTCCATTGTATTGTGAATGGATCGATTGTTATTTTTTCAGA